AGCATAGGGCGCGTATGAGGAATAGATATGAATTTATAGGATTGCACATGGAGAGGAAACATTTCCCAATAATTTTAGCTTTCTGTTTTTTTATTGTTCTTGAATTAAAAACTTCTCACGTAAAATTCTACATATCGTAACAGAGACATAATACCCATAAAACCTGATTTTGAAGCTTCAGGGTCGTATGTAGAGAGGACGTATCATAATAAATTTTCAGCTTCCTGTTTAGCCAGCTTCCAAGGCAGAAAATTTTGCGCTGAAACATTGCGTGTTTAAGGAGGTCTAGGCTTACGTAAGAACTCAGTTTAAATTTTTGGGGCCACTCACCCATATACTTGGAATATCAGTTAAAATTCCAGCTTCCTAGCTTTCTGATTTCCGAGTTCTGCCAAAGCTTCCAGTGCCCGTATGTGGAAACTAGGCGCGCATCTGGAGCTCAAACTTGACATTCCCTTGTCACGCATGAACGTGTAATGTACTGCTAAAATCTCAGTCTCCTAACTCTTCTGGTTCCCAAATCAGTGATTTTCAAGCCCAATTTTCTCGTTCCGTACAAGAAAACTAAGCGTAGGTGAAATGTGAATTTAAATTTGCGCGATCAAACACGGATAAAGAACATCACTCAAAAATTCTAGCTTTCTGTCTTTCTTATTACTGATTTGAAAACCTCGGATAAAACGATTTGCCTTAGATAGCACATCAGTGCGTCTCAGAAGCATCAGAGTATATTCAAATTTTCATGTATTTCCGGGAATCTTTCAGGAGGAATGTTTATTTTTGTCTTTTTCAAATTGTTTTGTGTTTCAGATCAGAATCACATTGTCTGGGGTATCTAACCTCTGAAGTTTATTTATTTTTAAATGCCGAAAATTTGAACTAAGCAATGGATGAATCAGTTCGAAATTTGGCAGTGCTTGAGAAGCAACGGCAAGCTGTGCGCCTGAAAAAAATCGCTTTTTTTGGAGTTGCCATTAGGTAAATTCTTGAATTTTTCCTTACAAATTTGGCTAGAACCTGAAATTAATTACTAAAAATCAAACCTTCCATTTATTTTAAATTTCCGCAGTCTCAAGTTAATGTATTGTTCTTATCTAATCATATCTCAGCCAAGAAGGAGAGCTTTTCGACCATCTGTTTTATTTTGCCCGCTAAAAATACTTTTTGCTCAAAAAGACATTTTGACGTAAAACGCTAACCTCTCTTCCTCCGTTTAATTCATCCTCCTCTCCTGTGTCTTTCGTTTACTTAGATACAGTGCCTCCAGGTGTTTTACTTTAGTTTATTATCTTTTTGGCATGCTCCAGCATTTCGAGCTAATATTTTTGCTTTCCTGGCCGAATTTCCTATCTTTCTGTGCGATTTTGTTTTTTTTGGGTAAATGCGGTCTTTGGCCAAATTTTGCGCCCACTTTTTTGTCTTTTTCCCTCATATACCAAAACTTTGTTGCATTTTAAATTGGCCAACGCACGGGCTGTCCGTGCGATAATGCGTTTTTTGCATAGTTCCCAGCAGTTTTTGTCGCTACTGGCATCGGTTTTTTTGGCAGATCCTTCTAACTAAAAAAATTAAGACTGGCCGCCAAAACTGGCAGGAAACACCCCTTAAAATTTCAGCTTTCTAGCTTTCCTGGCTCCTGAGTTAGCAATTTACTGGAAAAAATTTT